GAGGAGCGAGGGAGAGGGGGAGGCGGGTGGGGGGGGGGGGGGGGGGGGGGGGGGGGGGGGGGGAGCCACAGACTGTCTCCCAATATAAGACAGCGACCGCAGACATTTTCTGCCTGTCAATCACTGCCGGGGCCACTGGGGGCAGCGGAGGGGAGTATCTCAGGAGAAAGTTTAAGTAATAATGTGTGGGTTAATTACAAGAGTCACGCTGTAGTTTATGGACGCAATCTCCTGTCTACACCGGTGGGATCATGTTGGAACAATCTACCAATGCATAAAAAAAAAGTTTGCAGCATCTGCCAGTCAAACTTAATGTAAAAGTAATTAAAGCCGGGTATGCACTGGCTCCCTGTGGTGTGATAAAAGAGTGATGTAAATGAGTAACACTAATTGTGAGGGGATGCATCTCCTGCTTTACTGTTCCAGTGTCACATCAGCTCATATCATAAATTCATAAAGGATTCGAACATCCTCTCAGTCCTGCTGCGGGATTCGTCCCAGAAGTCCATCAGGGACTTTATTCTCCAGACGAAGAGTGACTTTTTAAGAAGCTCCGTCTGTTTTAAAGCAGAGAGCAGAAGAGGAAACGCTTCTGACTCTTTTCTACAGGGTTTTCAAAATGAAAATGCACTTTGCTGAACCTCTCACTGGTCTGACCTTTTCAAAATCAGCATGAAGGGGGAGAAGAGTGGGGGTCTCAGCCGGCGATATAAGACTCCGTTTCAGACGTTTGCTTTTCCAGGCAGCAACGAGATTTGGAATAAAACCATGTATGAAATATTTATTGACCCTATATCAGTCTGACTTCAACGTGAGCCTATCGAGACACTGCACAGATGAATTATTCCTCAAGAGGGAGAGAAACAGAGAGAGAGAGACAACATGGTGATGAGGAAGTAACTCCGAAAGAGGAAATGAGAGATGGAGTGGATGAAGAGATGAATGGAAGGAGACGGAGCACAAATGAGATGGAACAGGAAGAGAAAGGCATGTGGTGGAAACTAAAAAGAAAGAAGTGAAGAAGTGTGTGTGTGAGAGAGCATATTTAACACACACACACACACCTCAGTGTGTATTCTCAGAGGACCAACTTAAGGGCTCAGCGTGTATTCTCAGAGGACCAACTTAAGGGAACAACTCACACATCGAAGCGCAGGTTCTGCTTCTCCTCAAAGAAATAGTCCAGGATGAATTTCCTGACAAAGTCTGGGTTCAGGGTGTTGTCGATCACCTCCGTTCTGCCAAACTAGTTTGGATAAAAACACAGGGGAGACGTAAGAAAACAAGGTCTGGAGACAACGTATCATGGAGCCACTCAGAAACTACCCATGGTGCAGTACTGCTGTATATTCCCAGCGTGCCGCTCCGTCTTCTCCCAACAGCTGTGTGAAACTCACAGCTTCAGATAAGCAGAGATTTGATTAAGAGAAGTCAATGATCTCACCACGTCTGCTCTGTTGCCCCACTTCCTCTTATTCCTGTGGGGATTAGAAGGCCTTAGGAACGCACTTTATTGAGTCTAATTACTGTTGTTTAATTAATATCACTCTCACTTTTAATTCCACTTCAACACAAGGGGAGAAGAATAGAGTGGGAGAGATTCATAAGCAGCAGAGACGCATTTTCACACTGTGTTCAGAGGAAGTCGGCAAACACACACACATTTAAAAATAAATAATTCACAGTCAAAGACCGGGCATTGAACGACATCAGTGAAACATCCAAACTAGAGGAGTGTGTAATAACACGGTCACTCTCAGACCTGGGTCACTCTC